GGTTAAAAATTAAATCGCAATTAAATATTTAATTGAGGTTCTGTAAACCGGGTTTAATTGTTTTACATACTATTTTAATTTTAATAAAAAAAGCTGTTTAGCCGACCAGTCGCCGACTGCAGCCGACGATGAAAAACGGCCGAATAGTCGGCTTATCCGACCGGTCGGCCACTAGTCGGTACATCCCTAGTATTTTCCAATTTTTCAAGTTATTAATTTATAATTTATCATTTTCTCGTTTTTTAATTTTCACTTTTTCGATTTTCAAGTTTTAGTTTGTTTTTTTTTCGATTTTATCATTTTTTTGATATAACAATTACCTATTCGTTTTATAAATTTTTAATTTTTTCAACTTGCAAATTTTTCAATTTTTCGATACTCCAATTTTTCATTTTTTCGATTTTTCAATTTTTCAGTTGTTAATTTTGGAATTTTTCGTTGAAGTTTTTAATTTTTATTGTTCATTTTTCGGCTCTTTTAATTTTCATTTTCTCAACTTTATATCACAATTTTTGGTTTATTCAATTTTTCAAAATTTCAAACTTGATTTTTAATTCCCCGATTTTCCAACTTTTAAATTCTTCACTTTTGCAATTTTTGGATTTCTCAATTATCAAATTTTTGGATTTCTTTAATTTTATTGTTCAATTTTACAATATTTCGTTTTTTTACTTTTGTACCTTTTCGATTTTTAAGCTTATCCGTTTTCAATTTTTGGGTTCTTCAGTTTTGAAGTTCTTGATTTCTAGTTTTGAAATCTTTCAACGTTTTCATTCAATATTTCTCGTTTTTTCATTTTTAAATTTTCGATTTTACTGTTTTGCAATTTTTCCATTTTTTTTATTCAAAAAATTGAAACATAGAAAAACTAAAAACGAGAAACTTAAAAATCTAAAACACTAATGAATAAAAAAATTGGAAAAAAGAAAAAATGCGAAAACGAAAAATTGGAAAACCCAAAAATTGTAATAATCGAAAGATTATAAAATCGTCAAAATTATAAAATCGTACTTAACATTGAAAGATCGAAAAATTCTGAAATCGTAAAATCGAATAAATGAAAATTTTAAATTATTATTATTATCAAGGACATATGTAATTAAAATGAATACTAGAAAAATTGCGAATCAAAAACGAAAAAATGAAAAATCGGGAAACTTAAAAATCTAAAATTGAAAAAACGAAAAATTAAAAAATCTCAAGATTGAAAACCGAAAAATTGAAAAATCCTGAAATTGAAGAATTCAAAAATTATAATTTGAAATTGCAAAATTTAAAAAGTGAAACATTTGTGAAATTGAAGAGAGAGGTGGGGGGGGGGCAGGGTTTAGCTTTCTTCTACAGTCTAATAAGCAGGCAGTAGCCCTAGTCACCCACCCTCCCTGCATTCTAGTGACTACTCTTGATATTGTTCAGTCTTATTTTAGCAAATACTAGCTCCTCCCACCCGCCCTCAATTTCCATCGAGGGTATGTCATTTACCATCAGTCTTATCTTAGCAAGTACTAACCCCACCCACCGCCCTATATTTTGTTAGAGGATATGTCTTTTGCCAAAATCAGTCTTATCTTACCAAGTACTAGCCCCGCCCACCCGTCCTTTAGTTGCTGAGAGGATGTTTGAAAATCGAATAACTGAAAAATTAAAAATGGAAATTCTAAGAGTTGCATATCGTAAAATTGAAGAGACAAAAAAATTAAAGTAGCAATAGTCGAAAAATTGTAAAAATAAAGAAAATAAAAACGGAAACGAAAAATTGCTAATCCAAAAATTTTAAGGTATGAAAAATTGAAGAATCGAAAAATTGAAAAACTTTAAATTGAAAAAACCAAAGTTATCAAAACATTGAAAAATTGAAAAAATAAAGAAAATAAAACACCGAATGTGGAGTATACCGGGTGTCTGGAAAATGGCGGATTATCTCTTCAGTACGTTATATATGGGGGTTTCGGGAGTTCCAAAAAAATAATAAAAAAATTCTTTATGATGTAGATTACGAAAAAAAACGTAATTTTATAAAAATAAAATTGGCAACACTGCTGTCACCTAAGGCGTGAATACCTCCGGCTTACTTTCTGATTTCTTAGTAGTATGACTCATCGGTGACAGCAGCCGGCGCTCGCTAGAGGAAAGCCTAGAATCGGATTTCGCGATGGGCCCAGAAAACTCTCGAACCGGCGTTCTGGATTTATCGAGGGAAACGGTATAGGTTTTAAATAAAGGCCACCGTCGGGAACGATTATGATGAAGTCACCACGTCCAGTCCAGCGAGTGTCCAGACAAGTTAGGCCGAAGTTATTTTGTACATAATCGCTGTAATAGTAATTCGTGTAAATTCGAGTAAGAAATAAGTTTTTGAGTGAACCCACGTCGATTTTATTCGTCCGTCCAACGTATTATACTACTGTTAATAATAAACTGCAATTTTTAAAACGGCATGGACTTAGGACTTACGTGGTTGAAACATAATGTATGGACAAATCGGAAAGATAGCTAGGATGATTGAAAAATTATTTAAAATCCTGGGTAATTTATTTTTTGTAACATTAGACGCAAATATGTATACGCATAAAAACACTCGCACCAACATTTCACACAAACATAGTCCTGAAATTTGGAGGCTACAACACAACAAAATGAGTTTAATCTCAGAAAAAAAGGGGAAACACTTCCATCGTCAAGCAGGATTCCGCAGAGGTTTCGCATGGTTTCGTGTCCGGGCCGACTCAAGGTTTATTTAATCAGCAAAATTAATTGCCTTCAAATACATTTAATGCTAATGTTTATCATGTACAAAATATATATTACCTACTAATTCTGTCCAGTTATATAGTAATTTCGCCCAACAACATCAAACGTTTCTACATGTAAACCAACATTTACCTAATCCATTGGAACGAAAAGCTTTGATGCTGAGAGTTATTCATGAGCCACTCCGTTTTGCCAGGCCACCACTAGTGCCTACGTCTTTTACGTTGCTACTAGAACAGTCTCAGGGTGATATCCCAGCTAGGCAACGTGTCACTTACAAAAATCTAACTTTTGATTGGTTGTTAATTCAAGGACAATTTTGAGCAACAGTTGACCAGATGACGTATAATATGTAGTTGCAGCAGCATACTGACGTCACCGCCCAGAGGCGTCAGCTTGCCAGTTTATCAGAAGAAAATCAGTCGAGCGCTCTTGCAACGAAAATGTAATGACTTTATTATAGATAATAAAATTTATAGCTTGCTGAAATGAGACAATGTTGCAGTTCTTGAAAAACTTGCACTGAATTTCAACACGATCCTTTATTAAATAAAGAAAATATGTATGGGCTTTATTGGAAAAATTGAATATTAAAATATCCAGAAAAAAATTGGTAGAACGTTATTTTGACAGAGCTTCCCTCGGCCTTGAAGAGCAACCCAACAAATTCCACTTCCTTGCAAAATGATAAAAAAATGAAAGAACGAAAAAATTGTGATATAAAATTGAGAAAATGACAATTTAAAAAAAGGGAAAAATCAATCTTAAAAATCAAGAACAAATCGGAAAATTGGATAATTGAGAAATCCAAAAATTGAAAAATTAAAAAATTGGAAAACCGAGGAATTGTAAAATTGAAGATTGAGAATTTGATAAATTGAATACATATAAAAAAAAAATAAGAACTTGAAAAATCGAGGAAATAAAAATTGAAAAATAGTAAAACTGAAAAATTTGTAAGTCAAAAACTTGAAAAATTGAAATATTAAAAAATTAAAGAAAATGAAAAAACGAAAAATTGTGATATCAAAAAGTGTGTTTCAGGTTAGTTTTTACCTTACAAAATTTTTTCATGATCAACATTTTTTCATGGTTAGGTGTACTAATAATCACAGTGCTATATTTCCAAATTTTCGGTAAATTGGAGTGAGCCTTTCCTGATTTAATCAATAAAATAAACTGTCTCATTTTTTTTTAATTAAGTAATCACTTTCAGTAAAAATATTTTGAAATTCATGATAAGAGTAAATGTAACCGGTGTACTTAGAACATGTAAAGTTAAATTGATAAAAAAAAAATTATTAATATCTATAGGATTGTGCGATAAATTTATGTAATAACTAAACTCTCGAGACAGCGGTAGGCTTTAGTTGTAGTATTAATTTATCGCACACTTATGGTTCTACCCACGGCCTGAAACATTGTCATAAAACATGTATTATTTTAGTGATAAAAAACTAAAGGAATAAAAGCCTGTCAAGGATAAAATAAATTTACAATCCTAAAGCAGATTCGTCCACCAGAATAATGAACGTTTGCAGGTCCGTTAGAGAGGTTATGAGAAAAGTAAAAGACGTTTTGGAAGTTTCCCGTCAACTTATACAATCTCGTATCAAGCTTACAACGCTGTTGCATCTGCTTTACCTCTACTCTATAATTTTGTTTAGATTTTCTCGGCGTATAATATTATAAGATATTTTTACTAACAGTAATGGACACAGCATTGTGGCCAACACAACACCAGTTTTGCGACATACTCTACATTTGCTTTACGAATAGGTGTAATTCCGGCTCGAGTAAAAGTGTGCTGTGTGATTTTTTGTTGTAATAAATAACAATAAGTATTGCTTTAGTCGTGAAATAGTTAAACCCAGTGTAATAATATTCAAACCCAGCAATTAGACGTCTACTGCCATAAATTAAATCCGTTAGCTTCTATAATAGCGTTCAGTTCTCCCGGAGGCGATTTGTATAGACGAACGGTTAATTTTTCTCTACTGTGGTAGATCGGCTTGATATTACGTTAGATTTATCACACTCAATAAATCCAGCAAGCCTACTTTTTAACTTTCAATTAAATTGTTGATTCATGTCTTAATTAAAATATTTTTGTCGTAAATTCCACTAACGTGCTATTATCATAATCAGTGATCACAGATAAAGAAAGATTACAATTCTTGTAAAATTTATTTAAAACACATGTTACTTGTCGTAATTGAGTTGTTTTTTCTAACGCTTTAATATTACAGGAAAAGAACTCCTTCCTAAATTACAACGTATCTTGTATCCTGACGTTGCCACCCTACCAGAGACAAGGATATGGAAGGCTTCTTATCGAGTTTAGTAAGTGTTCCGTGCATGCTAAAATTACCATTAACCAATATTCTAATCTGTTCTTTGCATAAAGATAATAAATCTAGACGTTGCATATTGCATGATATTTATGGGGAACGAATCGTTTATTTAATGCTTTCATAATAATTATTTATAGGAAAGGGTAGTTTTTATAGTAATTACACCATTCATCATTTTCAAGTCAGATAAGGGTAAATGCAACAACAAGCACCGTGATTTTTTCCTTAAGAAGGTTTATGTTGACTAGCCTATTATTTATTAGTCATAGGAGAAAGGAACTTGATCCATATTTATTATTTACCCATATATATCTTCAAATTTATTTATTTTTTGTAATTTTGTACTCCACAAAAACTCGTTTAGTGCAAAAAAAGTTAAATCGGAAATGATAAAAAGTATGTAAGTATATGTTATTAGTAACTTGCCAAAATAAAAAAAAATGTTTTTGCGTCTACATTCATGTTCATTATGAACAAGTTTTGTTAAATATTCGATTTCAAATCATCAAAAGAATCGTCTAGAATTGAATACATAACTCGGCTACATGTCTTTTTTTTTCTTTTACTTCTTGAGCGTAAGCTAAGGACCTCTACAGTACAAAAAAAGTGATCTCCCATTTCTGTCTGTCTGGTTGTTGTCTGTATCAATTTTTTATTAGACACAATCTCCGAAACTACTGGACCGATTATTGTCAAATTTTGCATGTATATTAGGAATATCATACAGATAGCAAAACCCTAACCAAAATTTGGCTAAACGTCCCACAACAAATGGGATGACGTCGACTCCAAACTTTACAATAATAATTTTTTTAATTTATAAAATGCTCCTGCACTTGTGATGTATGAATCCTTGTACATTTTTCACCCTAGAGATCCAGATTTGTGTAACGACATTTTGCAATTTAACTTTGAAACTGCGAAACCGAAAGCTATAAAATCTTGCAAACGTTTTAAGGTTATCGTAATCGTGGTAAATCGTTAATCATAATTTAATCGTTTATCCTCTCCTAAAAAATTTTGCTTAATATTCCCCCGTAAAATATGCAAAATATTACATATTCTGTTCTTGCCGTTTATCATAGTTTTTACAATTACTTATATTATGAATTAATGATTGAGGCAAATTATTTTATTAATTAAATCAAGAACAATATACTCTATTTTCCCGAGAATTTGGAAAAACAAATCATATAATTTTTCGAAAAATCCGAATTCATTTACTTTTCACCAATTTTTTGATATTACAATTTTTCAATTTTGTAATTTCTCGATAATACAGTTTTTCATTTTTCGATTTCTCCGTTTCTCAATTTTTAATTTTTCGATTTTTAAATTTTTCGCTTCCTCAATTTTTCAAGTTCTTGATTTTTATTTTTCATTTTCCCTATTTTTTATTTTTCATTTTCTCGACTTTATATCACAATTTTTCATTTTTTCAATTTTCCTTTGGGTTCTATCATTTTTCGTTTATTCAGTTTTCAAATTTCCAATCTTCGATTTTCCAAATTTTACATAGGTATTTCGATTTTACAATATTGTTACGAAAGAAACCCATACGCTGCCCCGGTACGACGCCTATGGGTTTTCTAGTGTGAATGCATTTATTCTGGTATGTAGGGCGGGGATGACTCATCGGCCGGGCGGCGCGGCGTTCGCTGACGAGAAGCCTAGAAGCGGAAGTCGCGATGGGCAACCCAGAAAACCCTCGAAGTGACGTTCTCAAACCATCGACAGGAACGTATAGGTTTAAATAGAGGCCACCGTTGGGAACGATTATTATTGAGTCGAGTCGAGTCGACTCCAACGAGTGTCGAGAAAACCCAGTGAAGTTGCGCCGGATTTATTTTGTACATAATCGCTCTAATAGTTGGTCGTGTAAATTCGAGTTAGTAAGAAATAAATTGTTGAGTGTACCTACGTTTTTTCGATTTTTAAATTTCCCTGTTTTTAATCTTTCGATTTTTCAATTCCTCGATTTTCCAATTTTTAAATTTTGGATTTCCAGTTCTTCCGATTTCTTTAATTTTTAATATTTTGATTTTACAATAAATATTTCGTTTTTTCGATTTTTAACTTTCCCTATCTATAATTTTTAGTTTTTAAATTTTTCAAAATTTTCATTTTATACATTTCTATTTTTCATTTTTGATGTTTCAATTAAACAATTTTGCACTTTTTCCATTTTATTGATTGAAAAATGGAAAAATCGAAAACGCGGAAAATCGAAAAATTACGAATAGAAGGACTGGAGAAACTAAATACAGAAACATTGAAAAACTAAAAATCCAGAAACTTAGAAATCGAAAACATTAAAAAACCGAAAAATTGGAAAGAAGAAAAAACGATTCCAATCGAAAAATTGGAAAACCCAAAAATTGTAACATTGTCAAAATTGTAAAGTCGAAAAACTGTATGATTGAAAGATCGAAAAATTGAAAAATTAAGTATCGAGAATTTGAAAAATTAAAAATCGAATAAATGAAAAAGTTTTAAAATCGAGCAACTGAAAAATGGAAAAATTCTAAAATCGTAAAATTGAAAAAGTGACAAACTTTAAAAATAATAATTACTATTACATATTCAAAATAAAAACCAAGTACAAAAAAATGCAAATCAAAATTTGAAGAGACGAAAATTTGAAAAATCATAAATCTGAAAAATCTAAAATTGAAAAAATGAAAAACTAAAAAAAACTAAAAGTTGAAAAATCGAACAAATTGAATACCAAAATTTGCAAAACGAAAAATTGGAAAAATCCAACACAAAATTATCATTATCAAATCAAAACGAGAAATTCCAAATCGAAAAATTAAAGGGTTGAAAATTGAAAACTCGTGAAATGCAAATATGTAAATTGCAAAATCTAAAAAATGGAACATTCAAAATTTGGTAATTCGAAAAACTTAAAAATTTAAAAAACAAAATTCAGAGAGTTGTACGAGTATAAATCGTAAAATTGAAGAAACAAAAAAGGATTTTTTTTATTATTTATTTTTATTTTTTTATTATTTTTTTTGTTTATATAGACATGCATGTTTAGTTTTTATATTCTGTCAATGAAAAAAATTGCCAACATTTCCACACGATTTACTCTCTTGGTGTGCTTGCAAAACCTGAATGACAATTATGGAACTGCCAATGGTATATTTCAGTCACCCGTCATTCCTTTTTTTCACCAAGCTGGGAGGTTATTACTCACAATGGTTTTCCCAAAAATATAGACAGTTATTGTATGTCGATATCAATTCTTTGTACAAACTACTATCTAGGTGAAACAAACAACTTGTTCTAGGAAGTTCCTAAACTGTTTACAATATTACATGCCTGTTAGAAATATATAAGTCGCAGTTTTTACAAAGGAGCTGGTTTTTCCCATACAACCATCTGCGAATTTTTATGAAAAATTTAAATACTGCTACCTATTTTTATAAATATTTACATACAGAATAATCTGTCTGATCCAAAAATGGTACACTGTCGCGACATAGTTCTTCACCCCTATCGTCCAAAACATCAAATCTTCCTCTTCAACACTACATAATACAACATTGTACCGACTTGTTCTACGAATTTTCCCATGAAAAGATCCCAGTCATAACAAATTTACGGTGTTGATCAACCAATCACAATTACAGTTACGGCTTTTTATGTCGTCTGGGAAGTATATCGTTGGCTGTCTTTATTGCCCTAAGCCTCGTTGTGCGATAAGCAATTAACGAAATTAAGCTGGCATTACGTGGTGCAATTATTGTAAAAGAAGTTAGCCGTGAAGTGGGGCCGACGCGACGGCCAGTTCGCCCCCGTGGAGGAGAAAATGACCCAGACGAAGGCAGAGAGAGCAGGGTCGGATTCAGGTCACATTGGTGGACCGACGCCTTGTCACAAGCAAAACGAAATACGTGAAGTTGAGGAGGTGATTCATGATTCGATGGTTAATTTTATCTGATTTGTACGTGGATTATTTGGAGAGAGGGCGACTAACAGTAGTGTAATAATGGTTACGTTGGAAGAAAGAATGTCGACCAATTTTGGTATCTAGCGAATAATCGCTTCTTGTAACCAGTAATTTTCAGAATTGTTCAATCAGCTGCGTTCATTGTGCTTTTCTAGCTTAAAGTTAAATTTGGGTTGTAGGAGTTTGACTTTCATTGGTGCGTTTATGCGAATAACTAAATTTACAATATGTATTTTAATATGTAGCCTCGCTAATGTTTCAATCGATCTTTGTTTTTCTCATTGCCATTGAGAATCGCAAGCATTCCTTATTTTTTCAAACTTCTATGCAATTTTTTGTTTGACAAAACAATTATTGTCAAAAAGTAAAAGCAGTTCTAACATATTTTGTAAAATATAAAATCTCTTCACTGTAATTTATGATTTAAAACTATAACAATTTTTTTGATGTTAAAAATATATATATTTTTTGACAATAATATTAAGCTTAATTTTTTTAAGGTGTTGTAAACTTAATAAAAGCTTAAGTAACTTTGGCACAAACATTTTTCGAGATTTATATTCATTTTTTAAAAGCGTGTGGTATGGTGTTCAGTCTTCGTATAACAGAAACTTATTAATATTCTTTTTTTCTACACCTTCCTATTTTTTTTCCTACGGAAAGACATGGCTCATCTATCGGTTTTGGAAATCATTTCCTTACCTATTTCTGATAAAATCTATTAAGTTGTTAATACCTATTATGGTACTAAAAATTATAATAATGTAAACTTCATTTCTTTTATTAAAAAATGTATTGCTAGCGTTCCCATAGTAACAGTTACGAAAAGGCTTATTAATACTTAGTAGAAAACAAAATTTGCATTATTATTAATAATTTAATAATTACTATTTGTCCCCTGCAGCAGTTTTCATCTTATGTACTTTATTGTCTTGATGAATACGGATTTGATAAATTCTGTGATTTATTTTCCTACCATCTTTCCATTATCTTTATATGAACTCGCAAAGAACAAAAACAATTATTATCAG